TGGTGTGAACTGTGCGATTGCAGGGGTAAAAACAAAGTGAGAAGCCGAAATACAAAATATGCAAAAAAATGAAAATAAGTGAGATAATAAATATTTGATCAGGCCTCTATTTTCAGGTAACCAGTTACCATCGTGGGCTCTCCAACGCCAACAGAAGTCATAGAACACCATGCTGAATTATTCAAAGGACCAGGGGAACCTTTCTTTTCTTTTTTTCTCTTTACTACCTTTAAATAAGTATGCAGCCTTCCAAGCTAACCTTTACTTAAGTATTTAGCACAGACACTGGGTCAAATATAAAACAGCAAGATTTCTCGAAAACTCAAGCTGTAATTGTGAATCAGATTAGGGAAGGCAGCTCAGTCTCTTCGTCTTCCCCTTTGTGCCCCCACAGATTCATCTAGTGCGGGAAGAACCTGTTAACGTTAGTTGAAAGTCTGATTTTTAGCAAGACTTTTATGTTTGTGTTTAGCCATGATATTTTTAATGTCATTTACTCAATCCACCCAGTCCTTCCTTCATTCAACACACACTTTTTAAATACTTGCTGCTTCCCAGGTGCTGTCCTAGATGTGGGAATACATCAGGAGGAGCCTGACCTCTTGACCTTATACTACAGTGTGAGAGACAGATTAAAAGGTAGAAATGTACTCCAAAGGCAGGTAAACGAAAATACTATGAAAGGGTGGCATGTGGGAATGCTCCCTGGTTTTGAGGGCAGCCTGGCTGAATGGAAAGCTAAGGAGTGGGTGGTGGGCTTGAAAGTGGGAGGAGCCTATCCCACCCATGAGTGAGAAGCGCCGTACTGGTGGGGACAGGGCCAGAGTGCCTGTCTTAGTGACTCTTCTTGACGAAACTGTGACTATACGCCTGACATGGACGACTTAAGGGAGAAAAGAGCTACCTTGGCTCACGGTTCAGAGGGTCAAGGCAGTGTGTACGTGTGGTGGGGAGGCACAGTGGTCGAAGCAGATCACGGCAGAGGCTTGTGGTGTGGCTTTGTTCATAGCTTGCCAGATCAAGAGAACAGAGGAAGACCCAGAAGCCGGTTACTATAATAGTCACTGTCTGCCCTTCATGGTATGTCTGCCGGCTAAGCACCATGTTTCTAAAATTTCCACAGCCTACCAAAAAGACACAAAGTAGGGATCAAGTACCCAAAACACAAGTGCTTGGGGGGTGAGGACCATTTCCTATTAAAACCCCCTACAGTGTCCGAGAAAGAACAGCAACATCCAGGAGACTGAAGATGAGGAAGGGCTGGTGTGCATGACATAATTCATGTGTGCCGTGTGGGCCGTGAGGAGCCTTGTGATTTTAGACTAATTGTGATAGAAACCAGTAAGGCCTTCTGTGTGGTGTGAACTGATTCAGGGTTTGAAAGGATCTGTCTTGTTCCAGAGAGGCTCTCTAGTGAAGGCCTGCTTCAATAGCTAGAAAAGAAAGACTTGACATGACTATCATCTCTCTAGTCTTTGGTTCTAAGTCCGCACCCGCCTTCTGAAGCACTTGCAGTGGCTGAAAAGCCTGCCATCTTTGGTCATTTTAAAAGTCCACCAATGGCCTTTCACACATCCTATTTTTTTTTATTCAACCACAGCTTGCTTTTCTGAATGAGGGCTTAGAAGACAAGTTAAGAAGGGCTCATCCAATGGCAGAGGTTGCCCAGGCAATGGTCCCATGCACAGTTCTTCTAAGGGCCAGTTCTTCAGAAGGTCCTCAGAACACAGCCTAAGACCATCACTCTGAGCTAGCTGTACCTTGCTGGCCGCCCAAAGAGCTCCTACAGAGGGAGACAGCCTCAGAAGAACCTGATGGCGACAGAGGACAAGAGCAGGGCAGCGTTAGACAACTGTTGCTCTCGTGCTGATACCGGAATTTTATGCCTGGAAATAATCTCCAAATTGTTCACAAATACAAGCTAATTTGAGAGCTCGTTTCTATTCCTTGGGGACCTGCCTCCTGCAGATATCCAGGGGAGGGATAACCCCGAGCCATGTTCTACATGCTGCTTTCTAGAACATTCCTTCACGATCACTCTCTGAGTCTAGTCACCTGTTAGACAGAAGTGCTGGCTTTACAGGACCTCCTTCCTGAACACTTTCCTTGTCCTCTACGCTTCCTCCTTACTTGTATTCTCATCCATACCTCATGAATAAACAGCTTTTCACTTTTCTTGTGCTGTAGATCGCCTATGAAGACTCAGACACATCCTCTACAGCAAATCCCTGTCCTTCTGCGAGGCCATTTCCTAGACACCTTCCTTTAGTGAGCCAAGCGGTAGAGACATTATATTTACCCATAAGCCCCCATTATACTTATGATCTAGTAGTCAGCTGTGACCACGGTCAAAGGATCCAGTTACTCCCCTTCAGAATGCCCAGACTGGATTTCTCAGGCCTGTCTTTCTCCCTATGTTCGCTAAACCTGCCTGTTCTGTGAATGTTATGTTATGGCTGTGACTGCCTTCCAAAAGCACACACTACTTCTTGCCCAGGAAGCCAGGGTCCTCTTCAGCCAGGTCCTCGTCTTCACTGGGGCAGGATAGAGCACTTGCTCTGCAGGAGTTGTTGCTCAAGATCTCCTCTATCTAGTCTCTGCCTTCCCAGCCCCAGGTCCTGGCTCAGAAAGGCTTGGCCTTTGATTAACTTACGGAATTAACCAACCTGCTGCAGCATATGCTACCTATATTCACAAAAATCCCCAACTTGTGATAAACCACCTACTCTGCGGGCACACAAACTGGCATCAGTAGGAGACCAGCCAGAGGGCACTGTACACTCAGCTATTATGCCGCTTAAACCTCCAACTCCAGTGTGGTAGAGGGTTGTGCCTGCCGCTTACAGGGAAGAAAGCAGAAACCTGCGTAGGTAAAGCTGCTTGCTCAAGGTCACCTTACGGAGACACATTGCATCCTGCCACCTGAAAAGAGACCCAAAGGGCGTGGAGTCTACTACCTGAGTGGGGAGGTACCCTTTTCCTGGGTACTTAGCGGGGGTTACCTGTGTGCCCATGTACCGATTAAAGACAAAGGTGTGACCCTTTCCTGAGCATGGGAAGACTAAAAGGGGCTGGGGGCAGAAACACGGTCCAGAGCCAGCTTCATAAAGCCCTCCCCACAGCCAGGAGCTGATTTGTCGCTGTGGTTACGAAGAGGGGGAGATTAAGACTTCAGCAGTCACAAAGCCTTGACATTATCCTTGATGTCATTATTATTATATTTATATTTTGTAGTTCCAACTCATTCCATTAGAATTGACAGGCGCCGGTGAACTTGATCTTAGAGACGCCTCCCTGCAAGATCCCTGTGAGTGTTGGGCAGTTATAAAGGGTTATGGGGAGGCTGAAAAGCTACACTGTATTAGCAAAGCAAATTAAGGTCCTAAATTACACACAGACCTCAGGGAATAAGATCTGATCTCTAAGGATTTGGTTGTAATTTCTTGCTATGAATGAATATACTTACTAGAAAGCCCTAATTGTATCTTCTTTCTAAAACAGCTCTGATGTCCCCATCCCCCAAACCATGTCATCATAAGGACCCCACCCCCCCAACCTTCATCCTCACCAGGGCAGAGCTGGAGAAGAGGGGTGTAAATGTGTCAGAAAAGGGAAGTGGGGACGGAGGGAGAGTAAATCCTCATGTAACACGGCAGAAAGTCAATAGATAAATCAAGAAATCGCTATGTAAGCTCTTTTCTCTCTCTTTTTTTTAGCGACAAGAAGTGACCATCAAAAGAAAAGAAGGAACTGATCAGAAAGGGCTATGGGTGGAGCAGAGCAAGAGGGCTTGTTGCTTTCATTATAAGTGGTTATTTTACACGTTTACACTTTTATTATAAGTGGTTATTTACATACATTGCTTGATAGATTTTTAATTCAGACCTTTAAAAAGGAGAGTAAAGTTGTCTAAAATAAATAAACGGAACACAAAACCGAAAAATAAAAACAAACGCGAAGCAAAGGCCAAAGGTTGTAACGGGTTTGTAACGTACTGTGCCCCTGAGGAGCAGGGGCGGGGCATTGGGCGTGGCCTTTGGCCTGTGAGGGGGCGGTGCTTCATCGGACCCACCCTCGGGGCTGGGGCCAGGCTGGAGCCTACTTCCTCGGGCTCCGCCCACAACGGGAGGCGGGGAGCTCAAGGTCAAGTTCACTCTGGGCCCCGCCCCCAGCCTAGGTCTAGGCGAGTAACCCTTGTTGAACGTTAGGTCCACGGTCTCTGTTGACCCCCCGAGATTCTCCGGGTGCCGCTGCGGAGCCCAGCGACGCGCAGGTAAGCACAGCCAGCGGCCTTGGCCGCCTGCTTGGGTCCCGCGTTCTTCCGGGGCCCACGTGACTCGAAGCGTTTGAGGCGGCGGCGGTGCAGACTTAGGCACGCGCACACACACACAGACACACACACACACAGACACACACACACACACACACAAGGGCGTCAGGTGGGTACGGAGCGCAGAAACGTGCCAGTTTCACGGTCACGTTTCTGACCCACAGGATCGAGCTGACACGGGTTCGGATCCCTCCTGCAACGTGTGTACAGTCAGTTAAACATAAGCGTGTAACAGTTACGGTGTGTTATGCGGTGTTCTCCTTCCATTGGCCTAAGTACCGGGGTCCCAGGGATAATGTGCAGCCTGCCACCCCGCGGAGCTCAGGGGAGACCCGCTGCAAAGATAAACCACACACGTTAAAGTATGAACGTTCTAGTTAGTAGGGGCTGTGGAGATAAAAGAGCCCAGAGTGCTGGAGAGGTTTTATCCAGTTCACTACCTGCAAAACCTGTTGAATTAAAGCTGCCGGGCGAATCTCTGAATGCCTGGGTGGAAAACGCAGGGGCACATTTTCTCAGGTGAAAAAATTGTGGGCTGGGGAAGGAGGGGTCAGTAGGACCGGCCTGCAGAGAGCTGGGATCTGCAGGGTCCTGTGCTGGTCAGTTTTGGTCAACTGGACACAAGCGAAACTCATCAGGAAAGAGGTCAGAATGCCCCCATCAGACTAACCTGGTGGCCAGGGTGAGAGGGCGTCTTCTTGTGCAAGATAGATGTGAGAGAGTCCAGCCGGTAGTGATGGTTCCACCACACCCTTCCAATTTCCCTCACCCGGAAGGTGGTCCTGGAGAACAAGCCAGGAAGCCGCGGTCGTCCATGCCCTCTGCTTCAGCTCCTGCCTGGATTTCCATCATCTGATGAACTGTGATGTGGAAGTATAAGCCAAATAAAGCCTTCCCTCCCTAGTTGCTTTGGACATGGCGTTTGTCACAGCAGTTCCTTAACCTCACCTCTGTTCTAGAGTGGCATTGCTTGTACCACCGGGAAATGGGTTTGTGGAATGCAGCCGCCAGAGCTGTTGAGGCAGGTGCAGCATGGGGGACGACGATGTCTTCTTGCAAGGAGGCTAGGTGCCTCAGGACTGAACTTGGGTGTCTGTCCCTGAGGAAGCATGCCTTCCCTTCCTTAATCCTTTCTCCTCTGAGGCGAGAGAAGACACACAGCCTGCTCTTTAAGTTGAGGACTGGTTCAGTCATTCCTTTCTGAAACACTTGACCTTTCCTTGGCTCTTAGGCTTCCGAGAAGCCCTCCTGGCGCCTGTGCAGGGTTGGCCATGTGGCCATGCTGACCCTGAGCCTTGTGAGGAAAGCTGCCTGCCTTCTGTCTGGCAGGTTTCCCAGCAAGCTCCACCTGGTTCTGCCAGCCCCAAGAGTCCCAGAATACATGCTCCCACACTTTCCCAGGCGACTCCCAGCTCTTTGTGTCGCTCTCTAAAATTGCCAGATGACTCCCCAGAGGGAGCATCTCTTCTGATCCCTTCCTGAGGACCCCTTGGAACTTGACACCAACACAGATTTGAGAGAATGCTCGGTACTTTGAGAAACACCTGTCAGCCATTTGCTATCTACATGTGTGCATTTAGATTATTTCCTTTATTTTTTTAAGATTATAATATAATTACATCATTCCCCCTTCCTTTTTCCCCCTCCAAACCCTCCCATAACCTCTCCTTGCTGTCTTTCAAATTCATTAATTGTTGTTACATAATGTATATATGTATGTAACAATTAATACATAGAATAATACGTACATATATGTCTGTAACAACAACTAATAAAGAAAGAAGCTTGGTATATTCTATGCCTTGAATGATCCTGATGTCTTCTTGTCCACACTATTGATATAGACTTATGGTTTTCTAAAACTAAGATAAGAGAATGGGGAACACGGTTAAGGGAGGAACCTGGTAGCATTGGAGGGCTGTGGTCAATAGATGACTAATATAGTGTTGGAAGGAGAGGAGAAAGAACAGCCATGGTGCAACCCCCGCCCCTTGTTCCCCTCACAAGCCGTGGCAGTATGCTGGCCAAGACTGGAAGAGAGGCTTTATCGTGGCAGCCATAGACCTGCGGCTTCCCAGCTATGCAGCTGGTCTGAAGAGGTTGCTTGTCCTCTGAGTCATAAGGAGCATGCAGGTTCTTGGCATATAGTTCTGCTCTGAAGAAGTACTCATCCCGTCCCCTTTCTTTCTCCAAATAAACTAAAACAAGAACGATGGTGCCTGCTCTAGAGGCCATTGGGATCTCGAGTACCCAGAATACTTGGCGTTGTATCCAGCATGTAGGAAATTACTACACTACTGACGTTGCCCACTCCTTATCTTGGCAGACACTGATGAGGTTTGGGAGGGAAGTGTGGTGGGGGGATGAGGAGCTGGGCAGGGTGATTAGTGGGGGGTGAGTTATCTGTGGCAGTGGTTTCCCCCAGAAAGCAGCAGCCTCCAAATGAGAGGCGTGTTCTACCTGATAGGGAACCTCTATCCACCCGCACTGTCAAAAGACCCACGAGTCTGAGAAAACCTGGGCCAGAAAAGAAATAGAAGAAAAAAAAAGTGGAGAAATTAGTCAAAAGGTCCAGAATTGCCTTCAGGGCTTGTCTTTAACTCCCGACTGGGTGAGTCCCCTGCAGTGGGCTACTGTTGCTCTAACTGAGCTCTGTAATCTTTGTGACTTAGGTAGAATGGCTATAATAATTGCCTGAGACTGATCTCATTCACCAAGTGGCATGGGAGCTGTGGAACATTATAGCCCCTGCACTAGGCAGTCATGCTCTAAGTAGACAAACAGATGAATGAATGAACAAGTGAAAATAAACTGAGAACTTTTTGAAGTGTGTGTGTGTGCTTTAACTGAGTATGAAGGCAGAGAAAAATAATGTGCTTTAAGCATTTGCAGAGGACGGAGCCCTTTCATGTAGGAGGCAGCCTCATGGATAACTCCTTGGCTTTCCAATCACATCCCACAGCCTATGACTGAAGCCTTAGCATCTATATTTTAATCCAGAATTGTACCCAGCTCATAATAAGCAAGTTAAGTACCTGAAGGGCTTACCTCAGCACACAGACGGGGTGTGGAAAAATCCTCAGTCAGTGATAGCTATTGGTATTGTGTGATGTTTATTAATCCTTCCATAGACTGCCTCTACCACAAGGAAAATAAAGGTCACAGATGGGTGACCCTAGTTCTGAACCAGGCCTGTGTGGTAGCAGAGGCACTTTAGATGACCAGATCATGTGTATGAAGTGCAATCAGCCTCATGTGTATTTCTTTTATTACTTAAAACACTTGACTGTGGGATTTCTTTTCTTTTTAAAATTATAATATAATTCCATTATCTTTCTCTTTCTTTCCCTCCCTCTAAGCCCTCCCATATATCCCTCCTTCCTCTTTCAAATTCATGGCCTCTTTTTTTCCATTAATTGCAGATACATGCATATATATATATATATATATATATATACACACATATATATAAAACCTGCTCAGTCTGTATAATGTTACTTGTAAAGGAAAAATAAAACCTGCAAAATCATAATTTATGTGCCTTTGAGTGCAGGTGTTTTATCATCTAGATAAATCTTCCATGCATCTATGTTAAACCACTTTGGGCTGTCAGAGCCCTTAAATAAAGTGGCTTGTCCTGACCAGTGTCTGTCTGTGCTCGTTTATCATTGCTCCCTAGTAAAGATGGACAGATCCCATTGCACAGGGCAGGCCTCGGGCCAGCAGCTTCCACCCCATATATTAGCCGTGCAGACCCTGAATGAAGTGGTGTTTAACAAGTCACAGTGGACTCCACCCTCCCTTGTGGATGGGGATTTTTCTTTCTTTTGTTTTTCTCTGTGGTGCTAGGGATTGAACCCATGACTTCATGCATCCTAGGCAAGGGCTCTTCCACCGCGCTGCATCCCCAGCCTCAGACAGCCAGGCATTCTATGACCAGTGTGAATATGGGAACACACAATGGGGGAGTCTTAAGTTCTTTGAGGTGATGGGTTTGAGGGTAAATATGCCTGGCTTGAAGGTGCCCACATCATCTGAAAGTTGTAACTGTCTGGCCTTGCCAGCCAGAGGCCTGGCCTCTTGCCCAGGGAGGCCTACTCTGCTCCTTGCTGCCCTGCCTCTGGCCACAGTTACTCCTAAAATCTTGATTCATAGGCAGTAGAGAGGCACAGCTGTATCAAGTGAGCCTTCCTCAGTCATCTCTGACTTCATGGTGATGGGACACCTGTCTGCAGGCCGCAGAGCTGCCTCTGCTGGCTGGAACTCTTCCACTGCAGTGCGGGGTCCTAGCGCGGCACCTGACCCGTGGTCCAGCCTCCCTCTATTGTTTCCTTGTACAGATACCTTAGCCAGTATCCTAGGGATTTCAGTGGGGACTCAGAAATGGCAGTCTTGATCCTCATGAAGGCCAAGCACAGGAGGCAGGTTTAGTAAAGACAGATGTGAGAGCCCGTAAGTGGACAGACAGCCTCGAATTGTCAAGGTGGTCATGTGCTGAGCAGGAGAGGCCTGGGGAACCAGATCAGCAGGTGAAAGCAGGCCTGTAAACACTGCTGGTTAAACATGGTCACACACCTTCGAAGAATACTGCAGGGCATTTTTCTACAGATTCTGGTGAGCAGTGATTTGCAGACCGACCGAGAATGTACACTTTTAAAGCGGTGTGCCGCCAGCTTCCGAGCAGGAAAGCAGGCCTCATGTTCCCTACCCTCGTTGGTGCAGCTCCTGGTTCCCTGTTGTCTCCTCGTAAACCCCAAGTGTCATTACTGCCCATCTCAGACAGGTGGCACTGACTCACCCAAGGGCATATCTGGTAAGCTGGCTACGAAAGCCCTCCTCCTTTTGAGGGGCAGCATGTCCAGAGACCCTGTTGTATCCTATACCTAGGCCTATCAGGCTAAAGGTCCACATAGATGTTAGCATATGGTGGCCAGTGGCCTGTCATCTTAGAGGAAGGGAAGGCAAAGGTACCTGCTGCTGACCCCCCGGGTGGGCCTTGTATGTCTGCACCTGTGTGAGCTGGCTAGGCTAGCGGTATCAGGGTGAGGCTGGCCTTCCTAGAGTGGTCACTTGTGAGGGACACCATGCCTACCTTCAGCTGATAGCTTTGACAGAAATGCCTATGGAAAACATTATCTCTGTATGCCTGAATATTATTAGACTAACATAATTTGCTTGTCCAGGGATGTTGACAAGTGGCAACTTTATTTAGAGAGCTGAGCTGCCTGTTTCCCTAGAGCAAAGGACAGAGGCACCAGAGGCCCCTGACTCCTGGTGGGGAGTGTTTGACTGCCACATAGACCAGTGGGGAAGGGCTGGATTCCCAGGGCACAGCTTTAATAGGATTGTAATTGTGTGGCTCATGGCCATGGAGCAAAGAAATAGCTCTGGCAATCTCCCTTCCATAAAGGCTGACATGCAGGAGGTATTTATGCCTCCTGAAAGTGCATGTTAAGTGGTAGATATTTATGAAAGGGGTGCCGAGGAGTAAATGTGTCCATCAGTCAACCTGGAACTCTTTAAAGCTCCTAAGATGCTTTTAAATTAGAGCCAATCTTCCCCCTGCCTTCCACCTCCATCACCTCCCCCACCCCTGTTCCTCTTGTAAAAACCAAGTGCCAAGGCAGGGCCAAGCACAGGCAAGAGGTTGGAACTCCCGTGCAGAAGAGAGTGAGCACGTGTGTGATGATTCTTCCCCATCTCAGTGCTCCGGAGATTGGCAGAATGGGAGGGACAAGGCTGACAAACAGGGTCCAGCCTAATTGTGTCCTACCCTAGCCATCCGCACTCTGCCATCTGCACTCCATCATTGGCCAGGGCCTTTGCTCCTGAGGCTGCAGAGGGAGATGGTGAAAAAAAGTGATGCACACAGCCTCAGTTTGAGCTCAGAGAGGGGCGGATGGGAGAGAGAATGTCGTTGTAAGAAGTGGCCGTTGACAGAGAGAAGGCTGCAGAAGGCTGGGAGTTGTGAGCAGGTGATCATTAGCACCAAGTACCTGGCATGGAGGAGTCTAGCTAGAAATTATTATTGACTTCTCAGTGCTCATTTTAAAGATCAGAGGTAGGAGTTTGTCATAAGAAGCCTATCCTTAGTAGCCAAGCCTGCTTAGCATCTAATTCCCATCTGGCCTCTTTTATGAAACTATTATTGGCCACTTTTTGTCTTACTGCTTT